GTGCCACACTCTTTTCAGATGAATTCATGTTAACTCAACCAAAACCTGATATCCCTGGATTATTAAAAAGAAATATATCTACATGCTTCACATTTTGCTGGAAACATCAAAACCTGGGCTTATGAAATCAGCCTGGAACCACATTTTTATGACTCATAAAAGAAATTAGGCCCTAAACGCAAAGGGCTGGTTATTAAATATTGTATCTTTAAAAAAATCAGCGTGTTGAAAAACATTTATATTTTGTAGATACAAATTTCAAGAGATAGAAATGAATAAAGCCCTTAAACTTTAATAATGATCCGAAGATGCTATTAACAAAGACTACCTTTGATGAGCTGAGTTTTCGAAAGCATTTTTGAAAGGTTAGCAATTGAGAGTTAACCTTCAAAATAAGTTCAAGGATCCTTCTTTAAATGCTTACTTGGAATACAGATCAAAATACTACAATAATGTCAAGGAAAATAAGCTGTTTTCCCAGTTACATATAAATACCTTTAAAGGTATGTTTGGGGAATCTTTACCATTTTATCTTCAATTTGTGCTCAAAACAAGCGCACAGCTGTCCATTAAGAAAAGGAAAAAGAACAACCGGAGGTTATGAAAGGACAGCTGCATCTAATCACCATGTCAATTGACACACTGTTAGAAATCTACCTCCGCAAAGAAAGAAAATCAATATTTATAGAACAGCCAGCATTTCAAATATATGGTTAGTGCTGTGACTACACTCTATTTTAAAATTCTTAAGCTTTTTAACCTGTGACCAATAGGAAAAAAACGTTGCCATTTATAATGGGGTGTTCTGTGCAGAGTGGTTTCTGCTTACATCACATCATTTCAAAGGACTTGCTAAGACAATCAGGTTGGCTCAAGCTGAAACAGCCCAATTACTAGTTAAAAACTGCCTCAGGCTTTAAGAGCCTACAGGGCATTAAAAATCGTGATGCTATAGTATTTGCATCCTTAAAAATAGAGCCGGAAAGCAAGCTAAACAAATGTTGAAAATGAATTCTTCAACACTATTTCAAAGTATTTCTATTCTTTATTCATATACCCATTTAGGAGACATAATTAGACACTGCAACTCTATGAGTATTGCCAATGGCTAATGGGCATAGGGCAAGACAATTAGGACATAGAGTAAATATTTTGAAAAAAATCAGATAAAAGTAATTCACACATGTAGTTATTTATGTGACTCCTTTTAACTTTAAATTAATGGGGGTCATGAGAAAAATACAAATCAACATGTGTAAAAGTATCTTAAGTTTATGAGCTCTTGTATTATGCTGCTCTATTAGAAAATGTCATTGTCCTTCTAAATTGTCCCTATTAGACTTTTATATTAGTCCTGGAAAGTAAGATTATATGACTATGTGTGCCAGTGATTACGGTGGAATCATAGAACCCAAAGCACACGGGTAAGCCAATGGAACCTTCTTTTCTGATGGCAGACTCAGAGGAATGACAGTGCAGACATATGAAGAATACCTTTCACCTCTCTTTTATCAGTGGGTCCTTTCTCAGGTTGGATTAGAGAAGTGGGACAAAGGGTTCCCATTTGCTGCAATTCTTATGAAGAGATTCCCTGGTATAGAGGAGATATCCATGGAGAATTCAGTAGAAAAGAAGAAACAAAAGTGGCTCCCTTCAAAAATTCACTCATTCATTTAGTCATTCACTTATTCTTCTAATTATTCAACACATATTTTCTTTCAAGGACTGCAAAGTGACAGGAAAGTTGCTAAGCATGGTAAATACAAGTCTCTGAACTACTTTGGCAATAGATATAGGTAATAAAAATAAAACAATATAGTACATAGCAATGATGGATTGGCCATGGTATCGAAACTGCAGGAAATACACCTTTGAGAGAGAAAGAATACCCAGTTAGTTCAAGACAGAACTGAAGCACCCCTGAAACCAAAAAATAAAGTAGGTAGGAGCATATTGGAAGGAAGCAAAATTGTTGTCAAAATTCAATCATAAAGACTCAGTACTTAAAGATCACATTTCGAACAACTGCATAAGTGGAGAATAAGATGTAGTACTAGAAGCCCTGGTATAAAAAAAAATGGGAGTCTCCTTAAAAAACACCTTGGGCAAATGAACAGATACATGGAGGTGCTTCTAGAAAGAACTGTAACATTTTCCTCAGGTGGATTATTATGGAGGTTCTGGAGACTTAAACAAAACTCAATATAAACCATTTTAGAGTTTTTTGTAAACGTGTGTGTTTGTGTGTGTGTTTATGTATACTATAGAAAAAGATATAATTCTAAGCATAAATGTGCAAGCATGTGTCCCTCCCATCTCCCCCATACCAACTTCTCTTCTTACAAACTTAGATGAAAAACAGAAACCCAACAATTTTAGATGATAGCGAAGAAATCCATGATTTTGATTTTAAGAGTAACAGAAACTGCCAGTAATGACAAAAATAGTTATCCACTCAACAAAGGCTTGCCATCATACAAATGACAGACTCCTGACTTCCCCAATACAACCTACTTTACCTGATTTTTGGATGATTTGAAACCTGCCTAGGGCTAGCATTGTTTATAGGTATCCAATTCTAGTTTCCAGTTTACTTCCCTCCTTCCCTTTCCACTGAGAAGCAATTTATTGTTTCACATTTTTGGTTTTCCCTCTTTGCCCACACACAGCAGGCAGGTTCCACACTCAGCGATGCTGTCTCTGAGACATCCAGAAGCATAAATGCCCCTTAGGAAATTCCCAGATACTTTCAGCATATTCCCTAAATGTCCTTTTACTGCTTTCCAAAGTAATTTCTGGCCTTAAATGAGCCCATTTTATAAGAATAATAAACTTCCAAATGATATTTATTGTAATGTAGAAACTACATTTTCCAGAATATACAAACAGTGCCTCTTGAGTAGCAAGTCATTAGTTCCAGATAGCAGGCATTCTTTTTCATCCTTTAAACTCTAAAGCTTGCCATTTCATTACATTTTGAGAAATGGTTCTACCACTTATCTGCCTTTTTCACTCAATGGGAAATTATACAAAAGACTAACACCTGACTTTTTACAAATAATATTCATCACGAGTAAATAGAATACCTATGGTCACAATTATTCTCAATTGCTTACATTCCCAAATGTACGCTGTATATAATCACACATAACACATTTCTTTCTTGCATTAGTTCATTCTTTACATTTGAGCTTATATATTTCTACAAGTAATGATTTGAATTCAAAAAGTATCATCAAAAGAAAATGAAAAGGTTATATAACATCTGGACTGGGTTTCTATTGTAAAGAGAAATACATCTATATGCGAAATAGTGTTCCTGGCAATAGCTTCTTGACATAGAGGAGGGTTAAAAATGTGTGGAAAAAATCCATCTCCTAATCACACATTTACACATGCATTGCCCCAATTTTTCTTTTCTGTGGAGTAATGTTGGATCTTAATAAGAAAGTTCATACTGCTCATCCCCTTTTTCATCTATAAAAGAAGGATGTTCACAGCCTCATATATACTTTCAGAACCAGAGCATGTCAATTAGAACCCACACTGACTTTTCTAAACCTGTGATAGATGATAATGTAGAAAAGAGGATGTGGGCATGGATTTTTGTTGTTGTTCTTACAGGTTACATAATAATGGCATTGATGACGGTAAGGCCTATCATAAACTATCAAAAATAGAACATTACAAATTATTTTATAAATACAGCTGAATTCTTGTTATATTAATTTATGCTTTGGTTTCTGTCTGGACTTTGAGATCTTGAAGATAAACCTGTGTCTCCCTCTTATTTGTATCTTCTCATATGTCTCTTTTTTTCCTTAAAAAATGTAATATCTCAGAGGTTTTTTTAAATAATTAATATGGCTGTTGGAGAAATCCTAGAAAATTTTAAAGAATGCAATAACTCATAATGATGCCATCCAGTAATGGGATTTTCTCACAATGATTTATTTTCTCTTTTTTAATGACGTTTGAAATATTCTTTTAATTTTTTAATTATTTATTTTCTTTTAAAATTTGTTTTTAATGAATTTTGAAAAATAATTGCTTTATAAAGAAAATTTATAAAATATAGAAAAGTATAAGGAAAATAATGAAATTACTCATAATCTCACTACCCAGCGATAGCCTAAATTTACTTCTATTTCCATATCTATCCTTCTCTGTAACTAAAGTAGGATAATATTTTATTGTCCCATATTATGCTTTTTCACATATTTATCGATGAGTAATTTACTGTCATTTAATATTCTTTAAAAATAAAATTTTTTATATCTGCATAGTTTTCCATCTTGTTTCTGTAGGAAATCATTTCATCTTTCCCT